ATGGGGGATAAATGTTGGAGAAATTGTGGTTAATGAGGAGATTTTATGTATATAGGGTAATGTCCAGTCATTGAAGAATACAGTACCGGGATGTAATTTTAACCAAATATCACAAATTATTGGATATTTGTTACCAAATGATCCTTAGGTAAAACCTCCTGGGGCTTCCTAGAGGAAATGGTCAGACAAGGGGAAAAAAAAAAGGTTAATCTCATCTGCTAGAAGCTGCTCAGATACTGATAACCTCTGTTTAACCACAGATAAATGGTTAAATACCCAGCAAACTAGATAAAGGACAAATAGGTACTTATATGTTTGGTTATCATTTAATACTCCAGATAAATTCACCTGCAAAAACCCAGAACATCTGTCAATTATTTTTTCGGAATATCAACATTTGATCGACACGGACGGTCTGTTAAATGTGTAATCAGAGAATTCACTAATTTTAATAAAATCACTAGAAATGACACGTCCTGAGTAGTATGAAGATGCTACTGTGTAACATGGAAACACCCTGTTAGAGAGATCCAATAATTACATTACTGTATAATGTTTCTCTAAACAAAAGCTCACTGTGGTAATAATTGCATTGTCTCTGATATCTACATGGCTAGGATTTGTAAACCTGTTAAAACTTCCTAAATAAAGATAGTTTAAAACAACAAAATGAAAGAAATGGGAAACTATCAAGGCAGAACGGGGCTCCAGATAGGAAATGTAAAGGTGTTAGGATGAAAGGGTCAAGAAGAAAATGTCTGCATGGTGAGAGAAAAGCTGTGATTCTGGTATTCGGATGAAAATCTGTGATAAGACTTTCCAAAGTCGGGGGGGTCCTCATTTAAATACTTACTCACCTATGATGGGGTGTCTATCCCATACAAAGTCTGCCTGGGTAAAAAAAGGGACAATTACCCCATGACAGGCTGCAGGTGGAGGAGAGTTGGGGCTGATAAGGCCTAACACCTGATGAACCCAGCTGAGGGAGGAGCTGGGCTAGGCATAAAAGGAAATTGGTGTTAAGAGAGGGCTGAAGGGAAGAACGCTACTGTCACTCCCTGAAGTGGAGGGGAGTTGGCAATAGGTCAGGAGTTTATGGGGGGGGTGAGCCCTGAGATCCTGCCTTGGAATACAGAATCTGGCAAGAACCCGCCGGGGGTGAAACAGCCCCAAGGAGCACAGGAAGCTCCAAGAGTAACCCAGAGGGGAGCCTGAAGATAGGGAAGAGCCCAGGGAAACAGCAACAAGTCTGGAGCTTGAGCAGATGGTGGTTGCTGGGCAAAGGTTCCCGGTGCTGAGTAGTGGAAGGACCCAGGTTCCCCTGCTAGCAGCTTGGCAAGTGGCACAGACTGGGTAGTGGATCAGAAGACTGCCGGAGTGTCCTGTGGGACTTTGATCCCAGAAGGGGAGGACTACAGCGACTTGGCCGAATGGAAGACCCTAAGTGATGAAAAGGGAGTAACCTGACTCCAGAGAGATACAGCGCGAGACTCCAGGCGGAGAAACCGAAGGAGGGGGAGTCAGATTGGTTGGGGGCTAATCCCCAGGTTGGCCAGAGCTTTGAGTCGTGAACTGTGTGACACCACCCCTGCCCAATAGCAGCCAGTACTTGACTGTACTGGGATGCCTCCAACCAAGCAAGGCCCAAGAGAAGGGCTGTCCCAATTGGGTCCCTAAATGGATTCCCCCAAGGGCATTGCAATTTCAAAGTTAGTATTCATAAAAAAGGAAGACATTTGGAGTTTCTGAAAATGCTCCACTTCTTGGGATTCCCCCTGGACTCTTGGAGGAGTCTGGCTGTGAGTAGACATTGCACAGTATTATCAACTTTGACCACTATCCAGTTTTGGATTCCAACAAATTGAGTCATCTGAGTTTCACGTCCCAGAACAAAAAATTCTTTAACTGCATCGCTCAAAGGACGTTTGTGTTTAAATCAGCAAATCTCATCTCCATGTCCTGACTTTTTGCATTGAATCCCACCAAATCCCAATTACAAACAGCTACCAAGCTACCAAGAAAGGGAACAATACCCACACTCAGGTTTTAATGGCAAAATCACTGTCAGCACTGAAATACTTCGCCAGAACAGCAGTTACCCATCAGCCACCATCTGACTTGTACTGCTGTATGTTCTACCAGTAGTACTTTTATCCAGCATTTTAAAACCATCCCCAACCCTACAGTTTTCTTCTCAACTACTCTTTACTTTAAAAAGAATTCAAAGGCTAGACCTGTGACAACAGGAGACACTCCAATTTCCACGTCTAGGACCAGATGAGCAGTACACATGACCTTCTGTGGTAACATACGTGCATAAAAGAGCCACAGCAGTGAGTCTCAGAGTCCGGGTCTACAAACTAGGGTTCGTGCTATGGTGCTAAATAGCGTAATGTAGGTGTTTCCACTCAGGCTGGAGCTCTGAAACCCACCCTCCCAAGCTGGCTTTTAGAGCCAAGTTCCAGCCTGAGTGGGAAGGTCTGCCTTGCTATTTTTAGCACCATAGCACGAGCCTGAGTCCATAGACCTGGGCTCTGAGAATTACTGCTGTGGCTTCCCCCCAAGTGTACAGTAAACCTCAGAGTTACGAACACCTCGGGAATAGAGGTTGTTCATAACTCTGAAACGTTTGTAACTCTGAACAAAACGTTACGGTTGTTCTTTGAAAAGTTTACAACTGAACATTGACTTAATACACCTTTGAAACTTTACTATGCAGAAGAAAAATGCTGGGTTCATCCATCCTAATTTCAATGAAACAAGCACAGAAACAGTTTCCTTACCTTGTCAAATCTTTTTTTAAAAACTTCCCGTTATTGTTTTAGCAGTTTACATTTAACAGTACAGTACTGTATTTGCTTCCCCCCCCCCCCGACCCTTCTTGTCTTTGCCACTGCCTGATTGCGTACTTCTGTTTCCAAATGAGGTGTGGTTGACCGGTCAGTTCCTAACTGAGGTTCTACTGTAGATGTACCCTAACTGATGTACCACAACCTTTTGGCAGCGCTCAATTGTTATCTCAAGGCTAAGGAAAGGGCTGCCCTAATTTACAGCACTATAGGTTGGTAGAAGTCTGTGTCAGAGGTGGGGAAAAGGGAACAGACTGATATAGAACCAGATTTTGCAGCCTGGTTCCACATCATTATGAATGCTGAAAAAATACAGGCAACACTAGCTGAAAGCTGGATATGATGTTGGCTGGCAATGGAAGCGGCTTACCCACACAGCTCTGCCAAAACATCTCATTTCAAAACCTCAGCCTCCCTGTTGCACCAGTCATAGACTCTCCTAAACTGATACCGAGAAACATACCAAAGGCTGCATGTTGTGACGTGGACAACTACTTCCTGGTAAAGAGGAATGGGTTAGTGCAGGGGTAGGCAACCTATGGCACATGTGCCGAAGGCGGCACGTGAGCGGATTTTCAGTGGCACTCACAGTGCCCGGGACCTGGCCACCAGTCTGGGGGGCTCTGCCTTTTAATTTAATTTTAAATGAAGCTTCTTAAACATTTTAAAAACCTTATTTACTTTACATACAACAATAGTTTAGTTATATATTAAAGACTTATAGAAAAAGCTCTTCTAAAAACGTTAAAATGTATTACTGGAACACAAAACCTTAAACTAGAGGGAATAAATGAAGACTCGGCACGCCACTTCTGAAAGGTTGCCGACCCCTGGGTTAGCGGTACAGTGTCCATGTCATTGCAAATTTCTCCTCCACCCTTTGTCAACCAAAGTGAAGATTTGGGGACATCACTGGAGTATGCTGGGATGAGAAATGTATTTATAATAAATATAATTACAGAAGAAAGGTATATTAAGCAGCTGTGAGAAAATGCCGTGGTGAGGAAGGGGATGTCTGTTTATGGTCTTTTGAATTATGAGTTATACTGCTTTTAATTTTTTATGCAGCAGCCAGAGAATTGGATAAGTGCTATATAAATATATGGTACACCCAAAATTAGGATCCCTATTCTCCTGGGTTCACTACTTGTAGCACACAAAATGTGTGCTCTTTTAAATTAATAGAGTAAAACACAACTTAGGGTACTGAGAATTATCTAGTGTTTTCTGGGATGAAGGAAGTCAGACATCACTTACTGTCAAGGTTACTATGCTTTGCATTAGAGAAGTTAAATAACCTACACTTGCATTTAGAGATTACCTGCACATTTGTGATACTATTTTACAATGATACAATAAAAATGTATGAGAAAAATGTATTTGTGGGAGAGATTTTGTTAAAAATAAGGGCATAAAAATCTTGTGCATGGAGACACCTCATTCCAGAGATCTCAAACAGAAACAAAACATATTTACAACAGACTGTTTAGCCTTCAGGAAAAAAGGCTGCATCTCAGCTGCTTCAGAGTTTCATCCCTAGAGAGGGGGTCCTGTACAGAGCTTTGTCTGAAACCAAATGCTGAGTTAAATATTAATAATAGGCATATTCAGGAATGCAAATCCCCTTCCTCCTCAACCCACAGCAGACAAACCTTGCTGAAATCAGGATCTAGAAAATAAACCAAATATGAAAATCTACAATAAATCCTCAAGTAGGGGAAAAGGTACAGTGCGTGGAAAAGTCTGATCTGTCACATTAGGCACTACATCCCAATTTGGAGAGAATGGGGCCAGTTGCGTTGGGTTTGTTTGCTGTAGAAATTAAAAGCTCACAACCACAGTACTGTAACATGTACACAACCAAAAATGTATCCCAAAACGTGATACTTTCCATAATTCCCGTGGAACAATCTTTAGCAACAACAGATCAGACAGAGATACAGCCCAAGGATAAAGATGGAGTGAAAATAAAATTAATGGTACAGTATAGACTGGTGAACACACGCTGCCTCAAATCACTTAGATCGTAGACATGCATCAGCCCTAGGGCTTAGTCTCTGCTGCAACAGCTGTAGCAGCAGGAAGGCAGGCAGAAGTCAAACACTTATTTCCTTATGCATGAAAAGAACTCACGAAGGAAGTCTGATTTACCGTGTATAGCTCATTCAGGACCTTCATCAAGTCTTCCTGGAGCTGCAATCCGACTTCTTTACTCTACAACAAAAAGAGAGCCAGAGATCCATTAGGGAAAATGGGGATAGTTGGAGGATATGAACATGCCACACGCACTGCTAATAATCTAGACCCAATTAGGCACCATTTAACTGCTCAGTTCAGAGACAGTTATGGTCAAATTACACAAACAGCTTTAATACCATGAAATGTTATGCATACAGCCAGGCAAATGACACGAAACAGAAAGGAGGGATGGTTTGGTTGAACACTTTTTTTCCAATGGCTCTCTCAGCTAGCACAAAGAGAAGCCCCACTCGGAGAGACAAATAATGCCTGGCTGGGAAAGCTTACGCTATGTGGTGTCAAGGAGCGCTTAGATGACTGCCAGAGGAGTGAACAGTAGCACGTGTACCCCCCAAGACTCCATAAAGACTCACGTACAGTTAAAGACCAAGTGTGTTAACTCCTTAACAAAACCCATCTCTATACGCTGGGAAAGCAGCGGCCTATAGCTGTACCTGAAGTTCAGAGTCCTGTATGGTAGCCATTGCTCTCACACACACTTACTTCAGTGCCCTATTCTCCTCCTTGCTATCCTTAAAGTTCCATAAGTCACAGAGTGCAGCATCTGTAGTTGGTGCCAATACGGAGAATGTCAATTATATACTAAATGGGGGAGCTCAAAGGGGATTCTGCAAGTATTACAGGCTGGTGAGACACAGCAAGGAGCTAAACCTCATTTTAACTCGCTGGCTGACTCACTGAGACAATGGGTACCTGCACCTGGACAGAAGGTGGAAATGGCTCTCTGGAAAGGTTAAAAAAAATAAAAAAAATTTAAAAAGGGGGGAGGGGAGAAGATAGCTCAGGGGTTTGAGCATTGGCCTGCTAAACCCAGGGTTGTGAGTTCAATCCTTGTGGGGGCCACTTAGGGATCTGGGGCAAAATCAGTACTTGGTCCTGCTAGTGAAGGCAGGGGGCAGGACTCAATAACCTTTCAGGGTCCCTTCCAGTTCTATGAGATAGGTATATCTCCATATATTATTTTATTATCTTGGGTGGGGGGGATGAGCATTCCTGGAGATGAACCCCAGTTGGGGAGAAGTGCTTATTTGTGTGTTTCAGTCTGCATGCCTTTTGTGAATAAAACCAGACCCAGGAAAGTGGTTATGTTTTGACCGGCCACAGCTCGCAGGCACTGCATGCGGAAGAGTGTACAAAACCCACTAGCTTAGACACTTATTTTTGAATGCAGTGGTAATGCCAAGATATAAAAAAGGAAACCCCACCCACTCTATTTATGAACTCTGCAGTTAACTCCCCCAATGTCCCCCTCAAATTACAAAGCCAGACATGGGATTTACTCCGGCAGACAACACCATCAGCTATTTTTAAACTGCAAGTACTACAATACAATTTTAATGTATCAGCACACATCACACCCTAGCAAGGGGCACTTGGTTCTAGTGAGCTACTCAGTTATAGCCCAGGCAATACAACTCACGAAAAATAAATGGGAGTTGCACAGAGGCATGATTAGTTGTCAAGGTTGGTTAAGGTTCCAACTAGACAGCAGACAAGTGTCAATTTAAAAAAAAAATTGTTTTTAATGTCTTTATTTTAATTCCTTGGCAGGGGACATCAGGCAGGCATTCCTGGCTTGTGATTGGATGAAGCTGCCATATGAAAGTGCTGCACTGTCAAACTCTTGGCTGTAGCTAAACACTGGAATACAGGAGCAAACAGAGCAATGAGCATCTCAGCTTCATTTAAAAGGGCATTTCATCCCCCTGCCTTCCCATTGTCAACATTCACAACTCTCCTAAGTAAGATGGATCAAAGCTTATTCTTCACCCATTGCTACAGCAAAGGCAGCAACCAAATGCTTGGCGTTTGGCTACCTGGGTTTTTCAAGATAGTGTTGCGATTATATCAGAATCAAGGGTAACAGGGCAGGCTACGTGGCTACCAAAAGTAGCCTGTGCTATTGCGGTCATTATAGAGTGGCAAATGTCAAGTTTTCAAATGGTGGCTACATAAGATAGTAATTCTGCACATTAGTGTGGGAAGACCTGTACACTTCAAAACCTTGCATTCAGGCAGTCTGTTGCCTAGTCTCTGCATTTAACGCTGTCAAATGAACCACCTACTTATATCCACATCATTAAAAGAGGATACCTGTGCACATTAAGTCTTCTTGCATTAGACATTTGTGCACATGCTAACATACTGCTTCTGCTCCCTTTGAGTTCAAGGAAGCTTTTCCTTCAACTTCAATACAAACAGGATCTGAGCCTAAAACAGGTGGTCAAGAAGTGGCAATTTATTCCCTCTGCAATCTGAAAAGCTTAAATGAGAAACTGAGGCTTTTAGATATATATACCAAAAAGCACATTCGACAAGTGTCTAGTCAGACTGCTTAAAATTTTCTGGATTCTCTGCGTGTTTATGCATGTACATCCCACCCATACACCATCCCTGCCTCATGCATCCACTGAAAATCGTATCTTCCTCTTCCCTCTGCTCACTGGTTCTCCGATAGCCTGAGCAACTTTTTCTATAGCAAGAGCATGAGAGAACAAGAGAAAGCTCTGTTATACAACTGGCTGTAATATTTGCACAAGCATACAATTTCCATAACTCAGCCCATGGTACTTGAAAAAATGAAGCCAATAAAATTACAATTAAGCCCAGGCAGATGTTTCCTTTCTTGCTGCTGACGACTCCGAGAAGAAATGTCTCATCTATTATCCCTGTTTATTTGAACAGGCTGCTGAAGCGATTTTGACTTACTGCTTTAAGTCCAGTTCCCTATGGAGCACATGACTGTTTGATAACCAATGTGAAATTCTATGCTGTTTAAAATACAAGGGGCCTTCGGAAACTCAAAGTGATGCTGACACAGAGGCAGTTAATCAGAGCCTTGTAACAGGCATCCAAGACCATCATGCTTTCCAAAAAGGTACTGGAACTGTGACTTTCTAATCCAGAGTGCCCTTATATGCTGTCCTTTAAAAGAAAGAAAAAAGTAGTTAACTGTCATTAGTCCCCACAGATCACGATTTCAAGGGAGAAATTTCCTCCAATGAAAACCTAACCAGAGGACAAGAGGACAATTTCCCATATGAAACCTAGTAACACCCCTCTGATAAAGCAATTAATTCCCAGAAATCCTATGAACTGCATTTCAAAGAAGGGGGAGGAGTAAAGGCAAAGAACAAACAGACCTGCCTTTGTACGTTATCAGACAAAATCTCTCTTTTCTTTAAACTTCATGGAAAAGAATGAGTCATCATTCTAAACAGCTCAGGACACTGAAGGGAAGAAAATAATTTGCTGTGGGCAAAGTCTTTTTATTTTAATTTTTAATATTATCATTCTAATTGTTGCCTGAAAGAGGCCTAGATTCAGAGCTTAACAGTAGCTCTGGTACTTATAACCCAGCCAAATCAAAAATATTTTCCAGCAGGATTTTAACCTGCAACGAATCATCAGTAGTAGTTGTCCCTTTAGGCCATGCATCCTTTCAGGCTGCTGCGGTGGTCTCCTGGGGGGCCAGCGTTTTTGCAGAGCGGTGCTCCTCTAACATATATATCAGTATTAAAAGCAGCAGCGATCTCTGAAATGCAGTTTTAGCACTCCCAGCCTAATCCTTAACACTTTAATTCTTCCATCTGTAATGTAATAGCTGTGATCATTCAGAGACACAGGAGGGGAGCTAAGGCACACTGAACCCTTTCACTTCCAAGGGTTTTAAAATGAAGCACATCCAGATCATATTTTGTGGAGGCGGGAGTAAGTGGAGTAAGAGGGCAATGCCTGTATTTCCCCACCATCACCACCACTCTCTCATTCAAAAGAGAGCCGTGCCCACAGTACATGCAACTAATTAAAATAAAAGCAGAATCAATTAACAGGTGATTCAATCTATTTCAAACATGTGGCAAGAGGTAATTTCATCCAGATTTTTTCCCCCATTCACTAGGTTTTAAAGCAGCAGCATTAATGTCTCTACAGATAAGATTGTACCAGCCTTTTTAATATAGAATCCAATTTTCTAGGGGTTTATATTTCAGCTGCAGTTTGGCATACAAAAGTTGGAAGCCTAGGAGCTATTTTCACATTTCCCCCCACAAGTTAAAGGAGCAACCTGTTTGGCCATATTTAAGTTAGGGGACAGGGAGGAAAGACACTCATGGCTTTACTTGCATTTTTACACAAAGGCCATGATTCATGGAGGACTTTAAATCATTTTTAAAACATCACTTTAGACTAAGTTCTCCTAAGCAGGAACCTCATTTATAACTGCTTCTACACAGCGCTATAATACATCTTTTATAGGACATTAAAATACAGAGGGTCTTTTTCCTATGAAAATGCTAAACAAATTAAGTTAGAGAGGTTTGGAAATGCGTCACTCTACATTTGTTAAGGAGAATTCAGACAGTTCTCTCCCACCCCATCACCTTTAAAATAAGGTAGTAAAATGTTAGAGCTATAAACAAAAACACACTGAGCACTGACCTCACACTTCCTTGCTTGTGAATGTTCTGACATGAACTGGACCTCTTCTCCCCCCCCCCCTCCATTCCAGATCCTCCACTCAGTAAGACTCCTAGCCAGTTGCTACATTCACAGTCTTGGGGATCAGAAGCAGGGGTTTTAGATTTACTAATTCCCTTATTCCTCACCTTGAATGTAGAAGCTCTGATAGCTTCATGAGTGGACTTCTCATGTTCCTTGCACGGGAGCTATTCGATTCAAGCTGTAACAGGTGTGGGAACGTGATCGTTCCCCTTTATGCGACATTGGTGAGGCCTCATCTGGAGTACTGTGTCCAGTTTTGGGCCCCACACTACAAGAAGGATGTGGAAATATTGGAAAGAGTCCAGCGGAGGGCAACAAAAATGATTAGGGGTCTGGAGCACATGACTTTTGAGGAGAGGCTGAGGGAACTGGGATTGTTTAGTCTCCAGAAGAGAAGAATGAGGGGGGATTTGATAGCTGCTTTCAACTACCTGAGGGGGGGTTCCAAAGAG